GAGTAGCATAGAATTAAGCCAGAGGAATTCTATGAAGAATATGTTCTCTTTAAACTGAACTTGGAGGAATTTAGCTCAAAGCATTAAATGGCACATGGAGTGACAATTTATAGATTTTTTCCAAAGACTTAATCCTTCCTCCCTAGGCAAAATAAAAAAATGAAAGGGCATATAAAAATCATTTCTGTTATTATCCATTTTGCTTTCTTTTGGATTTATTTTCCTATTGAAAATGGAGTTTTTAAAAATGAAATTTGGGGAATTACAGTTCAATTGAACTTTTCTGCGTATGGTTGAAAATCAGTCTGTGTGAGTGGCGCCAATTGACTTCAGTGCTTCCCATGTGCCAGCACCAAGCTGGGGAAGGAGTGGGGGCGGAGGAGGGTGGAGAGAACCCACAAATGTGGGGGAGAAAGCAAAGGAGAGATGGACAGAGCAAGAGGGACGTGACTCTACAGGTCAACGTTCTAAGGCAGTGGTTCTCAATCTTCCTAATGTCACAACCCTTTAATACAGTTCCTCATGTTGTGGTGACTCCCAACCATAAAATTATTTTCATTGCTACTTTATAACTGTAATTTTGCTACTGTTATGAATCGTAATGTAAAAGATCTGATATGCAGTATGTATTTAGGTGACCCCTGTAAAAGGGTCGTTCGACCCCCAATGGGGTCGTGACCCACAGGTTGAGAACAGCTGTTCTAAGAGAACAAGTCAAAATAATTTTGTTAGCGTCAGAAGTGTTATTTTCCAGGCATAACCTGTGTCTCCTGGCTGGGTTGGGAGCAAGAGGCTCTGAACCCTACAATACCCCTAACCCAGGGAGAGGTGGCTTGGGCCTACTCAGATCACACCGGGAAGCCCAAGCCCAATCACGTTTGTGCCTGCACAGAGGGCAGTCTTCGAAAACGCTGCACTTCGCTGGCAGGAGAAAGTTGCATGTGTTTCTTGTGGTCTTTTAATTCCCACTTATCTTTTATGATACTGGTTAGTCAAATACATTTCTTAAGACTAAGTTTGGTTTGTTTCAACTGCTGCAACCAAAGAAAGCTTAATAATAATTTTATTATTTTCAAATCTTGATGTTGTATTTCTATTTCTAAAGGAACAGAGTGGTAATGCTCCAGGGAGAGAAAGATCAGGCTTTAGTTGCTCTTACCTACTCAGTTAAAACAGCTGATTTTGAATTGTTTAGGACCATCAAGCCTCCAAGAAAAGCAAGAGAATTCCTCGGGAAGTGATGGAGGATGGTGTCAGGGTTTGTGCAGGGTGGTCACACTCAACATGAGCCTACAAAAGTCTGTTGTGAGGGCTGAGATTCTGAGAGGTTAAACAACCCGCCCAGGAGGCAGTGAAGATGAGATGTGAGCCCATGTCCGTGGGAGCTCACGCCCATCTCCTGCTGTAACTGCAGCTGAGTAGAAGTCACCTCCCTGCTTCAGCTTCCGTGTTCCCACTCAGCTCCCTCCTCACTCTCATGTCAGGGCAGCCGACACCAAGCATTTTGTGGCCAACCTATTTCATGACCATCTTCTTCTCCTGTGTTATCAAAAGGTCAAATATTTCTTTTCTTATAAAAGGATGTCATGAATCTTAGCCCTTTGAAAATTCTTAGTTGCCTTTTAAAAGTCCCCATTTTAATGTCCCAGTGTGAATTTCCACCTATCACATCTGCACTTCCAGGCGCTTCCATCTCAGGCCCTTTTACAATCCACTGTCACTGGAGCACGTCAGCGGAGTGACGGGGCCCCACTTGGGGGCAGAGATCTCTGGTGTTTCCTTTGAGTCACCTAAAAATGAAGGTAAAGTGTTCAGACCAAAACGGTACATACCCACCACCTTTAATAATTCCTTCCGGGTGGAACCTCAACTATGTAGAGCTGCCAGGGCAGACATTTGCTGAGTGATGACCCTGTGCCCGGCACTGTTAGCCACTGAACTTGCCTTGTCTCCTGACGTTGCCTTTGCAGTCTGACACTGCAGACTCTAGACGCTGCAATCATACGTCCACAAAAAATCACGGAGGGGCTTGGCACCCGTAACTCATCAGCTAGGGCACCAGCCACCTACACCAAGGCTGGTGGGTTCGAACTCTGCCTGGACCTGCTAAAAAGAACAATGATGACTACGAAAAAAAAAATATCTGGGTATTGTGGCAGGCACCTATCATCCCAGCTACTTGGGAGGCTGAGGCAAGAGAATCACTTAAGCCCAAAAGTTTAGGGTTGTGTCTACCAAGGGCGACATAGTGAAACTCTGTCTCAAAAAAAAAAAAAAAGCCACAGGAGAAACTGGCCCCCATCTTCACTGTTCCAACCTCTTTCTGTAAAACCTCTTATGAAAAGGATCTGAGCTGGATTGCAGTACCTATATTTAAAACCTAGAGGAAAAGCTTATACACAAAGCACCTTAATCTCTTCTGACCGAATTACAGTGAATGTTGTAAGAAATAGACCCTGCCAGTCCAGAGTCGCAGTCAGTACACAGCATCATGCCCAGGGCAATTAAGTTTGCCTGTTTTTTATTACAGAGACTAAATATTTGGCCTGGTTCCTGCAGAAAATAAGTAATCCCATTACATGTCATTCACCTTTGAGTAACCCTCTGAGTTAATGAAGACACAAGCTCAAGACTTTCCTTTATTACAGAAATAATCTATTTAGCAAACATGGACTAGTTCACTGGGCAGGATACAAAGATGTAAACATGCAAAACGTAGTTTTGTGTTTAAGATGTGTGTTGTCCAATTTGCCTAAAGATGTCTCTCCATGTGCAAAAAGTAAAACACATTTGGGTTTCTGTTGTTTTTAATAAGAGGGTGAAATGAATTGTGATGACTAATAAAAAGGTATTCCAAAGTCAGAGGGAACTTTGAAATGTGGCCTGCCACTTACCGCCGTGTGACCTGGCACAAGCTACTCCCCATGCCCCATGGCACTAATCAGTGTAATAGCTCCTATTTTATTAGAAACGCGACTTGTATTAAATTGCACAATTAGAAGTGATTCTGGAAACAGGCTGTATGTTTCCTGAACCCTTGACTGGAAAATATATGACTCGGTGGCATTCACGACCCGATTCATCCTGGCTGGTATCCAGACCTGGTGGTCAAAAACAGGACAGTGTCTGTGGAAAACAACCCTTGCTTTTTTTTATTACTAGTTTAATATAAGACATACTGGAATTTATTTTCTCTCTCTCTCTTTTTTTTTTTTTTTTTTTTTTTGGTAGGGTATACTATTTTCTCTCTCAAGTCCAATTACAGAAAATAAAGCACTTGAAGACACAGGATTAGTCTGATAGAAACCAGTGGTGACTGGTGAATTTGACATTCATTATGAACTCAAGTTAGAAGCATAGAGAAGCCACTTCAGAGACTTAACACCCAAGAAAAATTATAGGAAGAAAGCTATGATTATGTAACTGTGATATTTCTGTCCTTATAAGGAAATAATTCAATCAGAGGTGAGAAAGAAGAAAGCTTTTAAAAAAAAAAAAAAAAAGAAAGAAAGGAAAGAAAATGAAAGGGGGGAAGTGTTTCTAAATATTATAGGTGGGTAGTTTTAAATGTCAATAAGTTTTCCTATAAACCCATCATGTGAGAGCAAAGGAAAATAGTTTCATGTAGGAGGAGATTAAAGAAAAAAAACTTCCAAACATTAACATTTTAAAGACTTAAATGGCTTAAAAGGAATGACTATTAAAATGCAAAATTAGCCTGAACAGAGACAACTTGAAGATTATATTGGAGCAGCACCCTGGGAGTCAGATAATGGTACTGATGACTCAGAGAATCTGAGTGGTTCAGGCTGACTCACATGTTTTGGAAGAACGTGGCATCAACTCACTGGTTCCCCTGGTGTTTTCTCCTTTGTTCCACCTGCTAGTGCCAAGCAAACCCTGAAATACCAGTGACTTTCCCAGTTCCAATTTGTCAAGAAGATTTTCCAAGCCACCAGGAACAAATGTAAGGTTTTGAATGTACAGAGATTAAGCATATTCGAATATTAACATAAGAAACACAAGCCAGTTCTGTATCTTTGGGACATGTAAGAGATGGGAGGCCAAACAGAGCCTTGACAGGATGGGAACAGAGGAGCCGAGACTGGGCTGGGCTTCCCAGGATGGAAGAAATGGGCTTTTTACCCCAGTGCTGCTGGGAAGGTGCTTCCAGGAAGATGTCTATGTCAACAAATGTGAGCTTGCACCTGTTCTGGACTGGAGTGCTTACCAATGAGGGGGTTTGGTTTTAGAAAGGCTCATAGCCCGTGAGGAAAACTGGCACAGGAACATGTAATATGTCAAAATGGAAACCATTTGACATATTATAATGGGTATAAAAGCCACACTTGGGAGGCACAGAATAGTCAATGTCTCACACAACTAGGATTGAGAGGCCTTCACAGGGGAGGTGACAGTTGGCCTGGGCCATACAGGATACACAGAAAACAGGGAACGTGTTCCAGCCAGAGGTGAGGACCACACAAGGCAGAGAGAGAGACTGGAGTACAAATGTTGACATTCATTCTGAGAATGGTTTGATAAACTATCCAGCCACAGATTGGAGGAAGTAGGAAAGATGGGCTGGGAATACAGGAGACAGAGAGGTGTGGGTGTGAGGCTCCCCTGGGTGCTTCCCATGCTCTGGGTCTCGGCATCACCCCAGTCTCCAGAGTACGTCTAACTTGGAAATGGCTGCTCTTCTACATCTGTGATTCGGTGTCTTGGCCGAGTCCCAGTTGGGATGATGAATAACAGGAGGCTAAGAAAAGCTTGAGATCTCTGCTGGGCCCATTCATCTTTGTGTTGGTTGAACTTACAGTGCCAACTCCTTGATTAATATCTATTGAAGAATTCGATCCTGGGCACGCCTGACGCACACACACACACACGTGCAGTGATAAATATCTATTGACGAATTCGATCCTTGGCACACCTGACACAAACACACGTGCAGTTGAAGAAACTCCCATTGCCTGCGGACGCTCTGGCTTCACAAGAGTGTTGCAAGTTTCAACATACCTTCACTTTCCTGACCCTTTACTCTCTCCCCACAGGACTGAAAAAACGCACAAGGAAGGCCTTTGGAATACGGAAGAAAGAAAAGGACACTGATTCTACGTATGTACTTTAAGACTTTGCCTCCCTCTTCACAGCCCGCGAGAAGCGACTGTCATTGTTAACCTTAACTTTGCTGCAGTTTTCTTGAATGTCATGCACTGTTCTATCACTCTCCCCATTTCAGGATAAATTGTAGATGTTCAGTATGAACAGTTCTGAGATTTATGCTGAAAAGGTGAAGATTTTTCATCATACACTCGGGTGTTGGTTTTCTATTTAATGACCTGATAACCACCCCTCCCAGCAGTCCAAGGAGGCAGAAAGCAAGACTTATTTTTGAGGGGACTAAACAGCTTAATTTGCATATCCAGGGCTGCCCATACTATGTGTACTAAGGAACAGAAGAAACACCCGTTTGGATAGATTAGACCTAGCCAGAAACAGTAGTGTAGCCTGGATACCATCCAGAAGCCCTTACTTGAGATGCCAACATGTTGTCCAAGCAGAATTTTAAATCAACCAACAGAATTCACAGGAGTAATAGTATATTTGGCTGTGAATGAGAAACCAAGGGCAGGATCACGTGGGGGTCGCTTTTACATGTTTAAATGGTCCTGCCCCAGGGAGTTAACTGCCCACAGACACTGGTAGACCCTTGAAAATGTCCAGGGACGTAACAGTTTCTTTTCACTTTGTTCCTCTTATTTGACCATCTAGAACTCTCCCTTAGAAGTACTGACTCTGACACAAACCTCACGTGCCTTTTTGAGCCACACGGGTAACCTGAATATGTGGAGTCCACACTGGCTCTGAACTTGGGACTCCAGCCCCAGGCCAGTGCAAGGAGAGCTCAGCTCCTCAGTGGCAGCTCCTGCACTCGGGTGAACATGCAGACCTGTGTGGTTTGCTTGCATCAGAATTGAGCCCATTCTATCCTTTGTTTGGCTAGAATCTCTGAAAGAAAGAAGCCTGAAAATGGAAAGTCAATAATTGGGCACAGGTAAAAATGAAGAAAGCCACAATTATTCTCACCTTCAGCGTTCATTCTATACATTTTTTCATGCTATGCGTTCTCTGTGTCCTTATCCTCCAAGAATTTATAATTCGTGGGATAAAATATCTATTACACAAATTAAAATACTTTTAACAGCTACATGAGGCAGCATGTTTGAAAGGCCTGCTGTGGTACCTGGTGCTTAGCAAGTGCTCAGGAAACAGGACCAGCTGCTGCTCTTATTACTGACACAAAATTAGTATGTGGTAGTTCCTGCTGAGCCATCAAAGTGGAATTTCATGGGAATTTGAGGCTCATATTTGGACGCCAATCAGTGATGCTTCAGGGAGAGAGGAGCCCGGAGTCTGGCCTTCAGGAAGATAAGGATGTGTGTTTCATGCAAAGGGGACAACCACATAGACAGAAGTACGGGTGGAAATGTGCAGAAAGCAGATACCAAGGAGATAAATGGGGCCGGGGTCCACCTGGGCTGCAGATCACAGTGATAAAGGGAGGTGAGGCCAGGGAGGAGGCCAGCGCCACACCGGAGATCTTAAACCAAGCACTGTAAAGGATTGGGGGAACAAAAGTTATTTTTTGTCTGGATACCAAATGTTAAGTCTCCTCTTCTTCCATTTTCTTTGTGCTTTTTCGTTTGGTAAATATTTATTTCATGGAAAATACATTTACTGTAGTCTTGTGAATTTTTCTAAATGATGAAGTAAAGAATATTTCCCTAAGGATTATATAATTTACATTGTTTCTTAAGAAATTTTCCATCTTATGAACACTAGCCACCCAGAATGGGTGACGGCCCCTTCTCTGGGGTCAGAGATCTGGGCTCTAGACTCAGCACTGCGAAAGTCCCTGGGCTTTGGGAATCCCATTTCCCTGGTGGGGCCCCAGGCTGTGTACCTGCACACACAGAGGGTGGGGTCTGAGCTCCTTGAAGGGCCCGATGCTCTGCCAGGCAGTCAGTCAGCAGTGCACACCCACCACGTGCTGTGGGGGATACACCAATGCCGCTCAGGAAAGATCATCAGCAGAGACCAAATCCATTTTCCCATAAAGACAATATATGTCTGCAGCGAGATTTCTAGTGTGTAAAGAAAGTTTGAAAGAGAAAAGGAAATCTATTGAGAAGAGAAAAGAAGTTAAACAACCTCCCCAGGGCAGCTGGACTCCTCTGCGTATGGCCAAAGTGCTGTTTTCCATCACTGTTTCTGTTGTGAGAGCACGCGAGGGTCCTCATGGCCTCGGACAGACGCTCAGTCTGCCCTGCGCTTCTCTAAGGGGACATTTGTTTGCAGAATCCCAAGCATCTTCCCTAACTTTGTGTCCTTTGAGCGCCCCAGGTTACCCAGGTGGTGCCAGATTAGCCGAGAGCAGGCTCTATCGTGCATCGTGGCCTGAGGACACGGTGCTCGGTATCTGTAGTACAAGCCTTTGCTTTCAGAGCCCCCACTCTCTATCAGATCACATATCCTTCTGGGAAAGGAATTCGGAAACTCTCCGGCACTGCGCCATCCCTCGGCGTCAGCTCAGGCTGTCAGGCTTTCTTGAACCTTGTGGATGCAGACTGGTTTCAGGGTTGCCGAAACTCACTTGGGGTTGCTAAGCAACCTGCTCTGGGAGCCGCCAGCACCAACTTCAGCTGATTGCACATCCCCAGACAGTGGGGTGAGGATGAGAGCTTCCTGATTTGATCATCACTGCAGAGGCTGACAGAGGGGAAGGGTCAGAGTCTGTGCTAAGTGGCAGCCCTGTCTGTACAGGGGATTTTGTTACACTGAAATCCTTTTTAGCCCTCCCAGTAATGCAATAAGATTCGCAGTCATACCTCAATTTTAGAGATGAGACATCAGTGCCCAGAAAATAAGACTTGGAGCCAGAGTGTTTCTCTGGAACCCAGTGCCTGTGCTTTCAGCTCCTAGAAGGAAAAAAACATCAAAGGGCAGAATTATAATCCAAATAAGAGAATAAAACACAAAAGGCAGAGTTTGCAAAAGGCAAATACTGAAAGTTTTAGAAACAGAGGCCAAGGGTCCATGGTAGATGATTAGTTTGAAAGTGGAAGTCAGAACATATAATAGGTCTGCCGTTAAAAAGAAAAAATTCAGGAAATTCATGTCTGAGGCTGCGGCCTCTCTGCACTCCCTCTCCCAGGTCGATTATGTAATAATTACCATTCTGGGTGAGCTGGGACGATGTCCACTATGCTCTGGACCCTGCCTCAGGCCCCCCACTTATGTTAGCACTGAATCCTCTGCTATCCCTGTGGAGCCTCAGAGTTTTCATGGCTCTTTTCCAGATGAGGTAACAGACACGAAGGGGTGACGTGACTTGGACAGGCTTGCACGGCGAGGAGACCTGTGCTGCGGCCCCTGCAGTGGGCCACAGAGCCTGTGCTCTGCCTGCCACGTCTGCGGCCCCCAAACGGGGAAGCGCCCACCCAGTTCCCATCAACCGATAAGACCCAGGGTCAGGCAAGACTCCCACAGTGCTGTGTGCAGTCAGAGTTTTTCTGATTAAAAATTTTGAAATACCGTCCCAATAGCTACAAGGGGCATGAGGCCCAGCAACTGCTCATCTAAGGTCTGCACCGATGTGCCCTTGTGCCTGGACCAAAGTGGGCAATGCCACAGCCAGGCCAGTCTCAGAGCCTTCCCTTCTCCGCTTCTATTTCTTTCTTGCCTCTGAACATATCCTACCAAAATGTTGATCCAGTCACCTCTCCCAGCTCCTTCAGTGGGGGCTGGTCAGAAATGCTCGTGTTGTGCAGTACACAGATGCGTAAAGGGAAGTTGGCTTTGAGGAGCTTGGGCTGGTTCCTGGCCTCTGCTCTCCCCTAGGCCGGGCTCAGTGTGGCCGTGGTGACCCAGGACGTACTCTCCTGCCTCATTCTCTCTGTGATGGGCACGTCTTCTCTGCCCTATTTATCCCCTGGTCATAGCCAAGTACCCAGCTCATTTTAGCACTCAATATTTGTTCAATGAATTAAGACTTTTGTTATCTAAGAGTCTTCCTATCTTTCTTTTTTAAATGAAATTTCCCTGAACTCGTTAATTCCTATGTCCAGGGAATGTCCAAAGGCCCCAAGATTTCTGGCAATCCCATGGGTCCTCTCCCTGCATCTCTGTGGGCACAGAACTCACTAGTTATGAAAAACTATGCTTCTCTCAAGGGTATTGTCATCCAAGCAGAATATTCTGAAAGTTTCAGAGGGACGTTGATGGGAAGGGGAGTCACATCTCGGAATCGTGTTGGCCTCTCACCCACTCTCTGCATTTCTCTCTTCCCTACCCCTCTTTCTCCCTCTCATTTGCCCCACCCTATAAAGCAATAAAGCTTTATTTATAATAAAGCAATAAGCATTTCCTTACCTGGTCCCACCTCCTAGAGAACAGTTCCAACCCCACCAAACTCCTCCAGACGTCACAGTACCCCTCAAGCATACTAAGGTTCTCCTCAAACTGTGCAGATCTTTTTCCAAGCATAGTTTTAGTCCCCTGGGCAATATAACATTTTTTAGCTCTTTACAGAGAGAACCAAAGTACAAACAAACCATTTAGCAAAACATTGCACTCAATTTCCTCTCTCCTGTAACAGAAGGAGAGGTAAATGTAGAAATGTGGAGAGAAATCTAGATTGTCAAATAAAGTTGAAAAATACCACAAAAGTCTCATCTTATAGGACACAATTCAGAACTATTCAGAGGGGAAAAGAAAAGGGGGCCAGGTACTATGGAGAGCACCTGTAATTCCAGCCACTTGGGAGGCTGAGGCAGGAGGAGCAGAGTGAGGCCAGAAGTTGAAGGCTGCAGTGCTCAATGTTGTGTCTGAAAAGCCACTATACTGCAGCTGGGGCAACACAGGGAGACCTTGTCACCCTTAAAACATGATAATAATTTAGGAGGAAAAAAGGGTAAGAGAGAGCAATTTGGTTTACATGGGTTGTGATGGTTGTGAAAGCAGCCAGACAGACCAGGACAGACTCCTGGTGAACTCTGCTCCTACCAAGGTGCCCCCAGCCACCAACCTGTGCCTTTTGGACTTTAGCCTTCAATGAGACTATCCTTCTCCTACACACGTGCACATTCCCCACACTAAAATATCACTTGAGAAATTTGTTTTGATTTAGTTTCTGTTAGCCAGGTTTCGGGGTGGGAGTGCAGGGGAGGCGAGGGTGGTGGTGGTGAATTATTCTTGTTGTATTTTAGTCTGAGTGGCAAAGTGACTCGTTTTCATAATAGCTATCAATTTCTTTTTGTTACAGAGGTTCACCAGATAGAGATGGAATTGTAAGTATTTAAATAACCATTTTTAGTGAGTTTGCTCTGTAATACATGCTAAGTTTCTTCTAGCCCTATGTTCTGTTTTTGTTTCTTCCCCTATACGGAACAAATAGCTTGAATGAGTTTTTCCAGACCTCTCACTGCTGTAATTTTCTGCAATAATTGCAGGGACGTAAAGGCGGCTCGGTCAAGTTGGTCTTGTTTGTTCATTGCCCTCAGACCGTGCCACAGAGCAGGCGAGCACAGCGGCTGTCAGCAGCGCGGCTCAGAGGCCAGACAGGTGTGCAGCAGCTGCCACCATCAGCTGTGACTCCATTCCCAATCTAACGATGTAAAAGCTCATTATGTAAGAATGTTTTCTGCCAGCAGAGGCCACAAAGTCATAATGCAGCTGAGATCCCATGAAATTGAAATAAACTTTTCCCCTATAGTAGTGGTACTGCAGATAGATGCATTTTCTTTATTAAATTCCAAAATAGGGAATGGTCTTAAAGCCACTTACGCCTGAATTTACAGTCTGGAGGAGGAAAATGTGTCTCCTGGGTTTAGTTTAACAATGACTCTTTGCTCTCTGGCCACTGGAGTCCTCGCTGTGTGCAGAGACTGTGGCCCTCGGGCTGAGCGCATCCAAGCCACATGGACAGAGTCTGCACCAGCTTCCAAGATGACTTCCTTCAAATCCAAATCAGATTCCTATTCAGGAGGTTCAAAAGAACAGCTGGTACTGGGGAAAAAACGGACTCCCATTAGGCTCGTTGGGCTGGAGTGGGGACTGAAATAAACCTGGCAATTAAAAATATATTTTTTTAATCACCCTTTATAACGTTGTGCCTAACTGCGGGTGTTAATTGCTGCTCTAGCAGGAGTTGTTCTCCCACACGGACTCAAGGATTTTAGCTTCTGGTGCTTTTTGCGTTCATGTGGTTCTCACCGTGAAATGCTAGGAAAATAGAGTGAAATTGATCAGACCTTGGGTAGCACTGTAATCAAGGCTCTATTCAGCAGGGGAAAAAAAAGACCCAGAAGACTCAGCTTCTCCTCACCTCTTGCTTCTGGCTCAGAGCCCTCTCGTTAGTGCTGTCTCAGGTACTCTGCTTCTGTGTCTCTGCTTCTGGCTCGGTCCCCTCCAGTCTGACTCTGGCAGGCTCTGTTGGCCACTGTGCTGCGTCCTCACTGCTCCAGGCTGGCCTGCTGCTCCCAGCTTCTCCCTCCGTCTGTCCCTCAGTCATGCCTTTTTTTCTTCCTCCCACCACACTCATCCCCTCTGAGGTCTGGTGCTGCCTCCTCACTGTCCTCAGCCCTCCGGGCAACACTATTGAAGTCTTCGGTAGGACGTGCACCCAGATCCAGGCACCCAGCAGATGGCTGTGCTGCGTCAGGAGCCCAGGGGGCCCTCTGGGGACTCACCCACCCCAGGTCAGGCTTCACGCCTGAGTTCCCCAAGTCTGCCTTCATCTCCCACATTCCAAGTCACAGAAGGCTATTTATTAGCAGTTAACCACTGGTGATGATTTTTAGGGAAGAGGAATTATTTGATCACAATTTCTCAGGAAATAACCCAGACCTGTTCCAGAAAAGGTTACATTCAAAATAAATGTGTTTTCTCAGAAACGAGGTGGATAGCTTAATAGGGAATGGAAAAATTATCAGCCAGCTACTAGTTGAAATTCACAGGTTTGTTAACTGAGTCCATACACCACATATGCTGGGTGCTACTAACACTTCTGAACTACTTGGTAAGCTGATGGCTGCACAAAAGCTTTAATTGTGGTTTGTCCAAACCCAGTGAAGCTCTCTGGTGGCACTGCTTGTGAGGCTGCATGGCAGGGCTGAGCTGTGAAGCCCTGCTCTCCTGGCTGCCTGCTGGCCGCATGTGCCCAATGCTGGAAGAGCCTTCTGTGTGGTGTCTGAGCCCTCAGCAGCTGTATGACAGTGCATCCAGAGCACACACAGCTCTAACTCGTGCAGGGTACACTAACTTCTAAGTGGTTCAGCTGTGTGACAGTGCGGTCCAGCACAGACACAACTCTAACTCCTGAAGGGTACACTAACTTCTAAGAGGTTCGGCTGTGTGACAGTGCATCCAGCACAGACACAGCTCTAACTCGTGCAGGGTACACTAACTGCTAAGTGGTTCAGCTGTGTGACAGTGTGTTCCAGCACAGACACAGCTCTAA